CCCACCACCCCGCCAGTCCGGGCGCCTCCGGAGCCCCTCGGAGAGCGCAGGGGAGAAGGCGCGCCTGGCAGGCAGACGCCCTGGCCGCATCCTCTTCTCCCTCTCTCTACCTCACGGCCCTTCCTGGCCGTCTTTGCCCCATTCAGGCACTCTCCATAGCAGAGAGATCACTCAAGCAATTCAATGACAGGCACACCACGTTCCAGCAGGGGACGATTTAAAATCAACTCAAATCCTACCTTGCCCCCCTTTCCATTTGCAGGTTTCAGAATTAAGGAAGGAGGCCTTGATAACGCTCAGGAGGAAAGCCAGGGTCCGGCCTCTCCAGCCTTCCCCTGGAGCTTGGACTGAGCAGGGGCAGCGAGGGGCGGGGAGGGCAAATGGCCTCAGCCACTCCTGTCCTACAACCCTGGAGTCCTGCCCCTCCCCCTCCTGCCCAGGTGAGCTCTTCTCCCAGATTCCCACATTCCTGCCCCGCCCTGCCCACCCTCCTCTCCAGGGACCCTTAGCCTCCACCAGGAACGGCCCCAGGGTCCCTTTGAGATGGCCAGAATCTATTCTGCCATTTCCAGTTCCCTACTGCTTTTACTCTGGAGTTGCACTAGGTAAAGCAGGATGAGAATCTTCCCTCTGTTCTGAATGGCCTCAGGAGGAAGCAGAACGTGGGGGGAGACGGTCTCCTTTTCTCATCAGATGAGAACTCAAGGCAATCGCTCCACGGGGCTGGCTGTTGGGAAATCCAGGACAGACTTCTAAGAGTGTAGCTGAACTCTGGAATACTCCACTTCAAGAGCCAGGAGCGGCTGGTGTGGTAAAATATCATCGGGCGTTGTTTTGTTCCAACACAATTGACAGGATGGGTCACACCAGATGCCTCCCTTAAGCCCAAGCGCACTAAGTGGCCTTTGGACGGACCAGGAGTAACACACACACACCCCTTTGTCTGGGTCGAGCTTCTGTTTGTTTGCCCTTCTCCGGCCCCCACGGATCTCTGGCCATCGCCCACCGCTTTCTCCGGGGTGGACAGAAAAGAGACCGTTGAGAAAGACAAGACTGGAACCCCTTTTCTATTGACATCCAACCCCAACCTTCTTGACCGCCAGTTTCATCGGTCTATAACAGGGCCCTGAGGGACCCCGTGGGGCCGTGGGCCGGACTTTTGAATAGGGATCCCTGAGCACTGCCTTCAGAACCCGGGCCCCACATAAAACAGGGCCTCCAAGTCCTGCCCCAGAAGGGATGATTCCACGGCGGATGGTCCGGGAAGCAACCAGGAGTCCAGCAGAACCAAGAGGGACAAGACCCTCTCCCCCCCCCATCTGGTTCCCAGCAGAGGCCATCCACCAAGGCAGGCAGGCAGAAGCCGTTCTGGACCATTTGCTTCATCCCGATGCAAGAAAGGGATCCTGGAGTGATCTGGCCAAGATGCTTGAGGACGGCAGTCTCAACCATCAGTTCCAGGGAGAGACCCATCTTTTGAACCTGGTCCCTTAGGATTCTCTGTTCCCCACTCCCAGAACTATGCTTGTTATTGGAAGAAGGATGACCTGCCTTCACAGTTTTAAAAAAAAAGCCTCGGGAGTTCTTTATTCTTTCTTTCTTTATTAAGCAGAACTGACTCCGAGCTAATTTTTATACTTTAAAAAGAAGTCCAGTAACGGTGTTCTGTCCTCCCTTTGCAACGTCCATGTTCCTCATTTGGAGCAGTTTATCCTCAGCGTTGCCGACGGAGGCGAGAGGTTGGCGGCCGTGCAGACCCCTTGCCCCCCCCCCAAGCGGGGGTCACTGGGAGTCCTGGGAGAATCTGACCACGACCGTGGAGTTTGTGATGCGAGCTCCGTAATGCCCAGCCCAGTATTGGGTGTCTTGCCCTCTGTGCCAGAACCGCACGTAGCGAACGCCGGGGCCGTAATCTCTGAACACGTGCGATACCTGCCGAGGGAAAGAGAAACTAACAACGGTGGCGTGGACTCAGGGGCACCGCCGGCTTCCTGCCTCTGCTGCCCCTCCCCAAAGACCGCCCCGATGGGAGCCACCAAGAGTGGCCAAGTCAGGGCTCTTTGGCAGGAGATAAAAAGCGGAACTGCAGCTGATGAGGGCCTTTCCTCCCCCCTTCCTCTCAGCTCCACACGTCAGTGGGTCTTTTGTCCACACCAGAAGGCACGACCCAGCATAACCTCCAAACACCACCATATATTTAATCGCCTCCCTTTTTATCACAATGGCAACAACCAGAATTTTTTTTTGAGAAAAAAACTAAAACTAGCCATATTTGCCTGAGGAGGCCCCTGTTCTCCTTCTCTTCTTACCTGAAACGCAAAATAAAAAGACCACACTTTCTGCTCTCCGGCTGTGAGGATTTGTGTCCTGCCCCATGATGGCTGAGAGGAAGCATCACAACAGCCCCACAGTGAACCCCCAGGATAGAAGCATGTCTCCCCCCCCACTTAGCCTCTGTACCACTTCTTCCTGCTGAAGGCCCCTGAGTGGCCCACATCCGGAATCATCATAACATCGAGCAAGCGCATAACAGGCCTCGGAAGCCGGAGAGGCCAAGAGGACCTGTTGATACTCAGCGTCGTTCCATTGTGGGATGGGATCCGGCTGGCTGTTGAACCTGGCCATCACGGACTTCTGATCGGCCGCCACGAGGGTGACCTGGATCATGTAGACGCAGCCGCAGTCCTCGCGGGCCCCCCACCTGTGGAGAAGGCAAAGGGACCCGGTGGGAACTGAAGCCGCTGATGCTGGGGGGGCGGGCAAGGAGAAACAAGCCCCTTCTCCCCAAGGCCTGGGGCCGTCCCAAGCAACTGCTGCCAAACACAGAATATCTACACGGTGCTCAGGGTGGGTGAAGTCACGGAAGAGAGACGTGTGAGAACAAATGAACAACAAACAGGCCTCGAGAGCAAACCGGGATAGAAAGGAAACAGGACTCACCAGTCGGAGACGACAATCTCGGGTTGGTGGGTGTCCAGAAGGTCCCCCCACAGGCCTTCCCTCAGAAGGTCGACCAGCTGAGATTTTGCACACCAGCTGGAAGGACAGGTGAGCAGAAGCCACGTCAGTCTGGCCACCCCCCCCCAAGGGACAGCGGGCGGGTGGAAGGGAAGGTCTGGAGGAAGGGCCGGGCAGGGCACATGGGGGGGGGGAACGGGACACAACAAGCCTCTCCTTCTCCTGGCAAAGGATGACAGAATCGCTGCCCCGGACAAGAAGGAGAACAGCCGTCTCCCTCCCACCCAGGAAGAAGGAAAGGCTGGCCGCCATGCCGGAGAAGAAAACGCCCACCGCCAACTTACCGATAGGATGAGACGAAGCAGGTCTGGGCCTCGGCCCCTTCCACGAATTTCCTGTTGGCTTCCACGGCCCACCCGTCCCCGTTGTGCTCGGTCTCCCAGTGGAGGAAGCGCTCTGTGGAGACACGGCAAAGGTCGCCTGGGGGGGGGGCGAGGAACCCGCTGGGGCAGGGAGCCCGTCTCGACGGAAGGAGCCCCCGCGCGGACGTAAGGCCAAGGCGGGGAGTCTGCCTGGTGTGATTTTCCCTCTGGTGCTGCACCACGTGGGACAGGACGACCCCTTTCCCATTGAGCGCCTGGGGGGGGGTCTTCCCTCAGCCCCCCCACCCCCCTGCCTTGCTCTCATCAGAGTCTGCTTTCTTTTCTCTTTTGCCTCAGGGACACAAACCTGGGCTTGATTCGGAAGCCTGACTGCTCAGACAGAAATCTTCAATGAAATCTCTCAGTGGGAGTGAAAACGCACGAACTGCAGGGAGTAAGTGCTCACCTTAACACCCAGGGGGGGCAACGTACCTTCCTTGGCCTACTTATCTTCCCCCAACAACCTCAACAGGTCCAAATGGAGAGAGTCAGCGTTGGGGAGGCAGCAGCTCCATAAAACAGGCCTCACTCTTTGCTTAGGGAACCCCACCCTCTCTCAGACTGGAAAGTTCGTGGAGTCGGGGCCATCCATC